TCTTCTTAGTCTCAAGAAAAACCTAACGAGAATGTATTTTCACAAATTGGATGAGATTAAAGAAGGTTCGCTGGCAGTACTAAACAGCATTATTTAAGAAGATTTATAGCATATTTTCCCTGGTGCAAATTTGAAGATTGCGTAAACAGCAGAGCACAATTTATCGACAAGTATATGAAACCCTTACGGCCTATATTGACGGAACAGTCAGTTCCGAAAAAGCCTGTCTTCATATTCATGCCCTTTAAGGGCGACAACATTTTAAATGCCAGCAAGAGATGCTTGATTAACACCATTGAAAGAACATATTTTTCTACTGAATTCGTATTCTGCAATCCAATAAGACCCCTACTAATCCAGGTGCGAAGGATGCCTTGCCATTTCATATCACTTTAAGTTGTGTTTACGAATTTACATGCACTTGCGGAAGCATGTTAATGGGGCGAACGCAACGACAAGTGACAGCCAGAGTCAAGGAGCACTTGCCTAGTTAGTTATTGAAACAGGAAAACAGAACTCCTCGTTCATCCCTTCTTGAACATTTCCCAGATACGATTAATTCTTTGGACTCCGAAACTTCTTTCAGAGTACTTGTTCAGGCACGAACAACTCGTACCTTGCGCTACCTGTAGGTAGCCTATATACGGCGCTCAGAAGCCAACCTACGCAAACAGTTTGAGCCTGTGGTTAACCTAACTTTGCCCTAGTAACATTCGACTCCCTGATTTACACATTTCTCTGCCCACTTTTTCGCCTTAACGTTTTTCCTTCACTTTTACTTTCCACTGTGCTTTGACATGCTTACGTTAATGATTAGCCTTCGTGACCTGGTTCGTCGACCTTATTGACCTTTTCTTTACGAATTCAGTTTTTGTATTTTCACGTACGTCAATTACGTTATGCAGCGAGAGAAAGCAGCTGATGAGCATTCCCAAACTTTATGGACCCATCAAATTCTGCTGTTTATGCAACCTTCAAACGTGCACCAGGAAAAAGATGATTTAGGATAGGAAAAATAAGAAATGCGTTTAGGTTTTTGCATAAGCTTCAAGCAACAACAGTTTCTTAGTAGCTAAGCCAGTGAATTTTTATTGAGGAGGCATTAATGACCTTTTTAATCAATGACAGACACCCATAGATGTTCAGGGATCATTCTTTTAGCAATTTCACCATATGCAGTGTCTGTTTCGGAAATTGACGTGTGTTTTCCGAAAAGGTGGACATTCAGTCGGCGAATACACCTAGGCCACTGTTCAGTCGTCATAGCACATTGGTTCTATTCGACGAATAAACTTGAAATTCGATCAGAATCGAAGACTAATCTAGTTTATTTTTCTAGCCTAGATTTTTATAAATCAATGTGTAAAATAGGCAGCAAAAGCGGTCCTCCATAAAATTTCACTGGCCAACAGTCGAGCAAGCCGTTTCTGCGCTTCACTAAAATACTCCGCATTTTGGAATTTTATGAGCAGCAGGATGTTGCAATACCTATGACAAAATGTTTTTTTTTTTGCAACAAGCATTGAAGCAGAGGTGCTTATGAAGAAAAAGAGAAGCACAGATACCTTTACATCATCAACAGGTGTGCAGCCAAGAGCACCACCAGCAAAGACCACTAGCTCGTCGTGCTCAGTCAGGCATGAGGAGGTGTGTTGAGTGCGTTCAGAAACGGCGTCCGCATTTGCCGGCTGAATACGAGATGGTGTGGCCGGAAACAAATCCGTCACAGTAAGGTCCGTAACCGGTCCCCTGGAGAGTAGCTTCACGTCGATGGACAGTGACCAAACGTCACTAAAGGGCTTGTCCTGATTGGCACCACCAAATAATATCAACTGGACAGAAGAGAGGAGAGAGAGAAAGAGGGGAGATTTGAAAGACTTGCCGGTCGTACAAATATACCAGCATCAGCTTCGAGAATTTCAGAAATTGGATTGAAGAACATTCCTTAGACTAGATACGATATTTAAATAAACATACTACGGGTTTTTTTAATGAGATTAGATGGTCCCGAAACAGAATGACGGTTGCTGGGCCATGTGGGCTGCTGGACCAGAAAGGGACACATTCCACTATAGCAGTGGATTATGGGCAAACAAAAACGTCCAACTCTAGGGCGGTAGACATTTCGTGGACGTATTTTAAGTAGTGCAACTCATATACCCCAACTCCCAGAAATATTTCGTACGGAACTGGTGGTAGTAAGGGTTTTGGGGGTGGGGAGAAAAAGGATAGAAAGTGTACAGTAGAAAAATGTAGTTGAATTTGTTTCCCGCAGCCGCTGGGAGTAAGTTGTTCCGCACGTATAATAATTTTAAAATGCAGATAGCAGTCATTAATACATATTTCAATGCCTATTTTAAGTCCCCATCCATAAAATCCCTATGAACACAGTTTTCGTAGGACAAAATGCTGGGACTAGGGGTATATGAGGGGCATTACTTAAACTACTGTTGCCGACGGTTCAGTGTGACAATATCCAAACAGAATATTTCCTCAAGGTCACAGGATGTACAGACAGTCTTTCACCTTGGAATTCGTAGCACTGACCGACAGTACGACACCCTGCCTCTCGTATTTAAGCATTCATTGCAGTAGGCATCATGCTGACCTTATTGCCTACTAGGCCCCTGCATCTCGCCAGCCTATCCGCATCCGGCATTTCGACTACAGATTCCGCCCGTCTGCCCTACAGCATAGTGGAGGCAGAGGTGGTGACTTTTGCATGAATTAAATCGGTTGATAGTAGACTGAGGCAGCATCGGTCGCAAGCAATCCCGCCTGGCAGCGGTGTCCTTATCAAGTCAAGAAGATCGGAGACATGAGAGAGAGAGAGAGAGAGAGAGAGAGAGAGAGAGAGAGAGAGCAAA